GTATTTCATACTGAAAAGGCTGTTCAAAGACAATCATGACTGTCTTACTACTTCTTTAAAAGACTGGACCTAAGCCATCCCAGAGACATTAACAGCTTTCATATCCTCTAAAAACTTTCAGACAAGAAGATTCCATAATTTCCTCTATGCTTGGCACTACTACTGCAGAAACATTTTTTATTGCATCCTGTGGTTCAGACTTGACAATAAATGCCTTTTCTTCAGAATCCTCCTGGGTCAGCTGTCCTTTCTGTTTAGCACTGGAAATAACAAGGTCTGCCATACAATGTTGGGGCGGGGGGAGAGAGAGAGCTAGAGAGTGAGTGAGCAGAAGTCTGAAATCTATTTATATCTAAGAAAGCATAAAGTCCACCTGAAGGGGCCGTCCTTAATTCCTACCTTATAGCTAATCTCTGCAAGAACACTTCCCCTTGTCTAGATGGTGAAAGGACATGGGAAACAAACCCAAGGAAAGGTGTGGAGCCTTGGCAATAACCTCTTTCCCCCTCTAGTTTTAAATATTTATTTATTTTTGACAAATAAAAAAATGTATACATTTAAGGTATACAATGATGTTTTGATATGTGCATAAACTGTAATCATCACAATCTAATTAACATCTTGATCACTTCCCATAGTTGTTGTTATTATTATTTTGTGGTGAGAACAATTGAGATCTACTCTCTTAGCAAATTATAAGTACATAACATTATTAACCACAGTCACCATGATGTACATTAGGCTTCCAGATCTTACTCATTTTATAACTGAAAGTTGGTGCCCTTTCATCAACATCTCCCCTTTTGCCCTATCTCCCACCCCCAGCCTCTGGTACCAACTATTGTACTCTATTTGTTGGATGAGTCTGACCCTTTTTAGATGCAACATACAAGTCAGATTATGCAATATTTGTCCTTCTATGTATGGCTTTTTTTCACTTAGCATAATGTCTTCCGGGTTTACCCATGTTGCTGTAAACAGCAGGATTTCCTTCTGTCTAAGGATGGAATAATATTCCATTGCATGTATGTGTACGTATATTCAATATATAGTATTTTCTTTACCCAATCATATGGCAACAGACGTTTAGGTGGTTTCCTAAACCTTGGCTATTGTGAATAACACTGCAATGAACACGGAGTACAGACATCTCTTCAAGATAATGATTTTATTCCTTTCAGATAGTAGTGGGATTGCTGGCTCACATGGTAGTTCTAATTTTAATTTTTTGAGGAACTTCCATACTGTTTTCCACAATGGCTATATCAATTTACATTCCCACCAACAGTGCACAAGGGATCCCTTTTCTCCACATCTTTGCCAACACTTGTTATCTTTTGACTCTTTGATATTAGACCTTGGCAATATCCTTTTAACAGCTGCTCTTCCCTTAGTATTCTGGGAGGGAGCCAAGCAGCTCCGTAAGAATGGGGTTGAATGGCAAACCTACTCTTGGCTCCATCTCTTCTCCCCATTCCTGCTCTCTGCACTCAACCCGCCATAAGAATGAACTCTGTGATTATGATGCATGGCCAGCATGGTCCGCATCTAGCCCCAAATGGCTTTTGTGACTATAGCTAAGGGGGTGTTTGTTGAGCCAACTTTAATACTAATGAGCGGTGGGATACTGGACTTGCAACGCTTGGAACACCAACCACTTTCTCTTCATCTCTTAGCATAAAATACACTAATTATAAATTAAATTATCTGTTTCATTATTTAACGAAAGTACTAAGTACAATGCCTTCTTTTTTTACTATTTGCTGACACCCATTCCTGGGTGTGTTTTTCCATGAGGAGCCAACACTCAAGTCATGTAACTTCTGGGGGCTGTTGCTCCGTTTTAGGGGGAAAAAACAAAAAAGCAAGACAATTCAATTACTTCTTGGCTTCCGGAAGGAGGTCTCTATTTTTTCTCTCTCCCCCTTCCAGTTACGAGGCTACGCTGGCACACTCGCTGTAATGTGCAGGTAATTGTGCTGCCCGTCAATACTCAGGATTTTCGGGTGGCGCTGTGCAACTGGACAGAAGGTGGAAGCCAGAGCTGGGTTTGGCCTGAACTGACCGAGCAGGGGGGCAGGAGTGGCAGCCGTCTGTATCTGGAAGTTTCACAGTCCAGGGAGGAGCTCTCACTTTCGGTCACACTGGTCCCTGAGAAACACAGGGGCTGTCTGGCTGGGGAGTGTAGAGGTGGGCCAAGTGTGAACAGGCTGGGGCAGGGCCAGAGGCTGATTTAAATTCGGTGATAGAATTATGATGAGGTTCAAAGATTTCCAAGGGACTAATCAAATGCTTATTCTTACATCATATGAACCACATGCCAGCTAGTTCCAGGAAGCTACTTTCCAAGGTAGTATTTGGGATTTTTTGTTTATTCACTGCTTCATTTAAATTCTATGAAGTCATTCACTGAGCTAAGAGGGACAATGACCGTAGAGCCTGCAAGGACATTTCAGTGTGTGCACAGCAAGGGGAAGAAAACAATGCCCAGTCCTTGGGGCCCCAGGAGGGTGCTCTGAGCAGGGCGACAGGGTGAAGGCGGCCTTAGAAACAATCACAGACCCACAAAGGAAAAGGCCACTGGAGCTGGCTCACACACCCCATCAGCGAGATGCTTAAAGCGGGGATGCTGACAATAAAAATTCACGTTTCATAGGAAGAAAAAAAGTAGTTGCATCTGAAGGTTTCAGGTACGTGAGCAACCAGAACATTTCAACGGTTTGGAAATACAGATGATATAGGGACAGTGATCATTTAACACGGCTAGGAAGGACAAAAATCAACAAACACATCATGAGTTCCCACTTAACTGGAACACAATCAAGAAGGTCAGAGAGCAGGTTTTTGTGTCATGGCTCTGCAGCACGCCTCTTATTTTAGAGCGCCCAACGCCAAGGGAATGAGAGACTGTCAGGGATTTGATCTAAAAAGCAACTTTTAGTTTAGGCTATATGCATTTACATTTCAGTTTCCTTAACATTTTACTGCCTTGGCATTGCATTATCATAAATAATTCAAGGATGTCAGAACTTTAGGGGTTTTTACAGATAGAAGCCGGGCCTCACAGAGGTTAAATGACTAGATCAGGATCCCAGATGTAAGTAGGGGCAGGCCAGGGCTTTGGGCCCATGGTCCAGGGAGTCTTAAGATGGGGCCAACAGTTACAGAAGAAAAACTAATTACATAAAATATGACTTACATCTGTAAATATATCTTAACATAATCGAATTTTTTGAAAATCAGTAAAAAACATATAAATGAGGTGGCTCTCAAAGAGATACAGGTAACAAATTAACTGTAAGCTTCACACTCCTCCCTAAGAATATTTTGGATAATTAAAAGTTTTCCAAATATTTACAGGAAATTCTAGAGTTGGAATTAATTCAAAAGGCACTCTTGCTCCCAATCTAGAAAGGGAGAAAGGGTCCTACATTTGACAAATGCTTATTATGGGATAGAGACGATGCAGGAAACTTCTGTATGTACCATCGCGCCTAATGATGGGTACTCACCCACTAACGCAGATGAGGAAAATCCAGCCCTGATCACTGGGTCACACCACAGTTGCCATCCCTTGGCCTTCCCACATTACTTGGTACATAAACTTCCCTACCTGCCCAGCCCCAATTACACTACCTTCAACTGGTTTGTCCTTTGGCTTCTAGTACTGGGATCCTTGGAGGTGCCTACTGGTTAGCGCTGTGAGGAATAGCAAGGAGCCCTTCCTGTGAGTCCTCGCTTTATCATCTGACCACTCTCCCGCTCTGCAGGAGTCACAGCAGATGTTGCTTAACAAGGGACTGGATCTAGTGACACCCTCTGATCGCCATGTCCTACCTGTCCATCTATTTGTTTTTCATGTTGAATTTGGACGCCTTTCTGTGGAGCAGGTGCCTGCCCCACAACCTTCTCCTGTCTTATACACACCCCCTTTACTCATTTGTATCACTTGCCACGCCTCTGGCAACACCTGGCTTTGTGACCCTGGGACTTAATGCCAGTTATACTCATTAGAACCTCACACCAGGGGGATGAGGGTTTTTGGTCTCTCCCAGGGCTGCTGTGAAGAGCTGCTCAGCAGATCACTACACAACTCTGGGATAGACTATGGATGCGAGCTGTGCCCCTGAGAGGCATACAGTGCACAGCCTTCCCACATGGCGGTGGAGGCCCTAGTCTTGCACACTCTGCTGGTGCACAGGAAATTATTCTGGCCCTGAACACAAAGTCCAAGGCTGCTCAGCATTACCCTTGGTTCCATGAAAATGAAGGGGAGTCAGGATGATGGAAGAGAAATTGTACACCAAGTTCAAAGGGTGACCCACTTGAAGTTAGTCATTGTGAAGCCCACTGTGAATTTCTGCAGCTCAAATCATCCAACTGAATGCCAATCTCTGGACAAATAGGTCCAGCTAACCAGTGTCCTCAATGGACAGAAATGACTAGACTCACTGAAGTAATTAAGAAACCTGAGTAGGGTATTTTCAACAATGGTGAGAAGAGCAAGCTTATGCTTCTTAGAATCTATTGTCTTAACTGTGAAAATTACTGCTTGCTTTTACTTTTTCCCCGAGCAAGGTAAGTGCTGTGAATACTCTCATTCTTTAACTCTCAGGGGAAATCAAGTGCTCCTTCAATCATTTGAAACAGAAAAATCATAGCAACAGTCCCAGTGATTCAGATCCTACATCTAGGACCGTACCAAACTTTGGCTGAACTACTCAAAACCGGAAGAGTAAGTGAACTAGAAACTACAAGTGACTGTGAGCCACAGGTGGGGTTCAGTTCCCTTCAAGAAAGATGCTCTGTTCAGATTCATGCCTCCAAGACTTTACATGCATCAAATTGAAACTGGCTATGACACAAATGTAACATGTGGGTGGCCTGGACATCAGCCCCTGAGTGGGGATGTGGCGCAGGGTCCACCTTTGTATGCAGTCAATTATCTACAAGTCAGTTTGCCTCTGTTAGCAACACACAATCAAACCAAACTACTGTACCTCCTCAGGCAAGCTGACCACCAAGTCATTTTTCGTCTGTCCGACCAGGGCCTGCCAGAAGTATTCACTGCACGCAGCTAGCACAGCCCGGTGGGCCCGGAACTCCTTCCTCTCCACGATCAGAGTCACGTCACAAAGAATATCCTTTTTCCGCTGGTCATTGAGGCCCAGGAGGATGTTGGTGCAGTGGACTGTGGACTCATACACATACATGGGGGAGTCAGGCTTCTCATCCACAGACATGCCGTTCACACCCTGAAAGAAAGAGAGGCCGGGTCACCACTGTCTGAGTCACAAGTGAAGGTGAGAAAGAACTTCGTGGTTCCTGAGCCTCACTGCCATGAGCCAGCCCAAAAGGGGCAGAATTGCTTATTAGCATATTCACGCTCAGTTCAATCAGCTCAGCAATCATATTGGAAAGTAGTATCTTGTGGCTGACTTTATTCTTTCCATTTAGTGCGTCCTTTTACCCCATGGAAACAAAGTCAGGCCTTTTAATGGGACACCCAGAACATTTAAAACATATATACTTTAAAACTCAGGAGTTTTGATTTTGTTGGCTGACTGAAAAGAGACTTTCATGTATACATTGTCCCAATTCAAGTATTAATTTGAGCTTTGTGGTAAGTGGAAATGAATCATTTTTAAGAGTTTGTAATGCTTTCTTTATTTAAATACATGTAAGCTGCTAAGTTGAAATTTGGCTAAGATAACACATATCTAATTGTGATACATAATTTACCAAGTATCTAAACTGCCTGTGTACTAAAGAGTCAATGTAGTCAGCTATTGCAATTGCCCTTGGCCACTTCAAGACCAAGTACAACCAACACGATGCTATTGTTGCTCATGAAAAGCTCTTGAAAAGAAGTGGAATTGTTCTGCCACTCTCCCAGCAGACTTGATGTACATCCATTTTAAGTAAGCGCAAGATATCACAATAGGAGTCATAAAACAGATATATTCAACAGTGAAGATCACTTTTACAAAAGCAGTTCTTTGTTTTAAAAAGTGTTCACTGACATAGTTAAAAAAAGCAACAGTATATGTAAATGATTTAGGTAACAAAGTTTTTGAATAATGTTTACTACTAGTATGAATTCCAACAGCAAGTCTTACTTCCTTATTTATTTCTTAACAGCTTTCATACACAGTAAACCACATATATTTAGAGTGTACAGTTTAATATATTTGGCATATGTATGCAACTGTGAAACCATCATTACAATCAAGACAGTGAACACACCCTTCATCAAAATAATTCTCTTTATGCCCCTAATGGTCCCTCCCTTGCACCTCTCTGTGCCCCTCCCCCTGAAACCACAGGTCTGCTCTGACACCATATATTGGTAGTCATTTTCTATATTTTATATAGATGGAATCATACAGATTGTATTCTTTTATGTCTGGCTTCTTTTACTCAGCATAGTTATTTTGTGACTCATCCATGTTGTGCGCATCAATCATGTGATCCTTTATTGCTGAGTAGTGTCCCATTGCATGGATACAGCACAATTTTTCATCCATTGATCCACTGGTGAATAACTGGGTGCTTCCAGTCCTTGGCTATTACAAATAAAGCTGCTATAGATTATTGTGTAAGTCTTTGTATGACCATATCCTTTCATTCCTCTTGTGTAAATACCTAGGGGCAGAACTGAAGAATCATTTGCTACATGTAAGTCTAACTTTTAAAGAAACTGTCCTTGTTTTCTAAAGTGGTTGTACCTTATACCACTTCATATTTCCAGAAGCAATATACGAGAGTTCCAGTGCTTTCACATCCTTGCCACCACTTGGTGTGGTCCGTCTTTCTAATTTTGGCCATTCTAACAGGTACACTGTTAGATCTCTTTGTGGTTTAATTTGCTTTTCTATACAGAGTGAAAATGTTGGGCATCTTTCATGTGCTTATTCATCTATTTATCTTCTCTGGAAAGATGTTTATTCAGATTCTTTGCTTATTTTTTATTGTTTTCTTATTATAGGCATGCCTCAATTTATTACACTTTATTGCACTTTTAAAGATTTTTTTTTTTTTTACACAAATTGAAGGCAAGAACCTCCACCAACAAAAAGATGATGACTTGCTTTATTGAGATACTCGTTTTATTGCAGTGGTCTGAAACCAAGCCTGCAATATCTCTGACTTATGCCTATATTGCATTTTGAGACTGCTGTATACATTCTGAATAGAAGTCTTTTATCAGATATGTGATTTCCAAATATTTTTTTTCTGATTTTTTAAAATTTTCTTTTTTAATTGTATTTTTTCCATTACCATTTAGTCCCCTTATACCTCCTCTCCCCCATAATCCCCACACCGTTGTCCATGTCCATGAGCCATTTTTCCTTTTTGCTCAATCCCTTCATCCCCCTTTTCCCCACTTTAGCTGTCATCCTGCTCTCTATCTCTAAGTCTGTATTTATCTTGTTAGTTCAGTTTGTTCATTAGATTCCACATATGAGTGAAATTATATGGTATTTGGTTTCTCTGACTGGCTTATTTCACTAAGCATAATGGTTCTCCAGGTTCATCCACACTGTCACAAAGGGTAAAATTTTCTTTTTTATGGCTGAGTAGTATTCTATTGTGTAAATGTCCCACAGTTGTTTTATCCACTTACCTATTGATGGACACTTGGACTGCTTCTATATCTTGGTGATTGTAAATACCACTGCAATGAACATGGGGTGCTCACATGTCCTTTTGAATTAAGTGTTTTGGGTTCCTTTGGATATATTCCCAGAAGAGGGATTGCTTCTGGGCAGGTCCATGTTTAATTTTTTGAGGTTATCTTCATACTGCTTTCCACAGTGGCTACACCAGTCTGCATTCCCACCAACAGTGCCAAAAGTGTTTTGCTTTCTTCATATCCTTGCCAGCAATTGTTATTTGTTGATTTATTGATGAGAACCATTCTGACGGGTGTGAGATGATATCTCATTGTAGTTTTAATTTGAATTTCTCTATTGATTAGTAACATTGAACATCTTTTTATATGTCTATTGTCCATCTGTATGTCCTCTGGAGAAGTGTTTATTCAGGCCCTTTGCCCATTTTTTAATTGGGTTGTTTGTTTTTTTGGTGTTGAATTTTGTAAGCTCTTTATAAATTTGGAGTATTAACACCTTGTCAGATATACTGGCAAATATGTTCACCCATTTTGTGGGTTGTCTTTATATTTTGTTGATGTTTCCCTTTGCAAAAAGTTTTTAGTTTGATGTAGTCCCATTTGTTTATTTTTTCTTTTGCTTCCCTTCCTGGGAAGATATATCTAATAAAATATTGTTATGTGCAGTGTCTGAGATTTTACTGCCTATGTTTTCTTCTAGGATTTTTATGAATTTGGATCTAACATTTAAGTCTTTAATCCATTTTGAATTTTTCTTGTGTGTGGTGTAAGAAGGTGGTTTAGTTTCATTTTTCTGCTGAAATTTGTCCCATTTTCCCAACACCGTCTATTGGATAGACTGTCTTTAGCTCATTATATGTGGTTGCTCCCTCTGTCAAATATTAATTGACTATAAAGATGTGGGTTTATTTCTCTATTCTATTTCATTGATCTTTGTGTCTGTTTTTATGCTGGCACCATGTTGTTTTATTTAAAAAAGATTTTATTTATTTTTAGAGAGAGGGGAAGAGAGGGAGAGAAACATCAATGTGTGGTTGCCTCTCACGCACCCCATACTGGGGACCTGGCCTGCAACCCAGGCATGTGCCCTGACTGGGATCGAACCGATGACCCTTTGCTTCTCAGTCCAGTGCTTAATCCACTGAGCCACACCAGCCAGGGCCAGTACCATGCTGTTTTGATTACTATGGCCTTGTAGTATAGCTTAGGTAGCATGATTCCTCCAACTTTGTTCTTCTTTCTTAGGATCTCTGTTACTATGCCATTTGTGGTTCCACATAAATTTTTGAAATATTTGTTCTAGTTCTGTGAAGTATGTCATCAGACTCATGAAAGGAATTGCATCAAATCTATAGATTGCTTTGGGTAGAATGGACATCTTAGTGATGTTAATTCTTCCTATTCAGGAACATGGTATGTACTTTCACTTATTTGTATCTTCTTCATTTTCTTTATTCAGTGTCTTATAATTTTCTAAGTAAGGTCTTTTTACATCCTTGGTTAGATTTATTCCTAGGTATTTTATTCTTTTTGAAGCAATTGTAATTGGGATTGTTTTCTTAATTTCCCTTTCTGTTAGTTTGTTATTGGCATATAAAAATGCAACTGATTTCTGGATATTAGTTTTGTATCCTGCTACTTTGCTGAATTCATTTATCAGTTCTAGTAGTTTCTTGGTGGAATCTTTGGGGTTCTCTATGTACAGTATCATGTCATCTGCAAATTAAGACAGTTTTATTTCTTTCATTCCAATTTGGATGCCTTTCATTTCTTCTTGTTTGCCTGCCTTGGCTAGGACTACCATTACTATGTTGAATAAAGAGGTGAAAATGGACATCCCTATCTTGTTCCTGATCTTAAGGGGAACACTTGTAGTTTTTGCCTGTTAAGTATGATGTTGGCAGTGGGTTTGTCATATAAGGTCTTTATTATGTTTACGTATGTTCCCTCTATTCCCACTTTGCTGCGAGTTTTTATCATAAATGGGTGCTGGATTTTATCAATAGCTTTTTCTGCATCTATTGATGTGATCATATGGTTTTTATCCTTCGTTTTGTTTATGTGGTGAATCAAATTTATTGATTTGTGAATGTTGTACCAACCTTGCATTCCTGGAATAAATCCTACTTGATCATGTTATATGATCTTTTTGACACATTGCTGTATTTGGTTTGCTAATATTCCAGATATTTTTAAAACTGTGGCTTGATTTTTATTCTCTTAATGGTGTTTTTCAAATAGAGAAAGTTTTCATTCGATTAAGTACCATTCAGCAATTTTTTCTTTTATGATCATGCTTTTGGTGTATCTAAAAATATATTTGCCTAACCCAAGGACATATCTTTTGTCAGATTTATACCTAGATATTTTAATGCTATTATAAATGTTTAGTTTTTAGATTTAAATTTCTGATTTTTCATTGCTAGCACATAGAAATATAAATGATTTTTGTTTAGCGATCTTGTACACTGCAGGTTTGCCTAACTTGCTTATTAGTTCTCATAGTCTTTTTGTTTTGGTAGATCCCATAGATTTTCTATGTAGAAGATTATGTTGTCTGTAAATTTAAGATATTTTATTTCTTTTCCAATCTGGATGATTTCAAGGTCTTTTCCTTGC